TGTGACTTTAAATGTATAATCTTTTGCATCTATGCGTTAATATAGATAAAGCTTTTAGAACAACACTTATAGGAGTACACCATACATATTAATTGTGATTTTTCTTTGGTCACTGGTTGGGTGATGTTAATGTCTCTTCTTTGCAGCATGTGGTAGTGGCTTGAGGAGATCCAGGGCTTTCCCACATAAATGCTGCTCTGAGTTATTTCTGTGATGATATATGTGAGGGTGAACAAGAGTAGGTAGAAAAGAAACAAGAAGACCTCTAGTGCCCTCTTTTTGCCGCTCTGTTCCTTCTCCAACATACACTTGCTGTTTCTTAGCTACATAGTTCAGTCTTACAAAAGAAGCAGCTCCCTGAAAAAGGAGCTAGTTTTATTGTGATAAACTTGCTTATCACTTTGTAATATAGATTTTTGTTTTGATTCCGTAATCCTAAAGCTGCAGGGATATAAGACACATTAAAACTATAGCTGATTTCAGGTGGTGTTTCCTTTGGGATCTCTAACAATACAAAATCATTTGTCTCTGCTTAAAATGAGCTTTTGGTTTTAATTAAAATGGAATGAAAGAATCTTCTATTTGTCTTAGAATAACCTCAGAATTTAACATGTGTTTTCCATGTACTGAATTACATTTTCTAATGTAGCACGCGCTTTCTCTCTCTCTCTCTCTCTCTCCCTCTCTCTCTCTCTCTCTCTCTCTCTCTCTCTCTCTCTCCCCGCCTGTCTGTTTCCATCTCTGACACCCTTTCATTGACATCTGCTAAGCTACTTCCATGGGTGCTTGCTGTGGGCCCCAGCTTGATTAGCTAAGAGCGCTACACTGGCATTTGTCACCCACTGGCTTTGAGGCATATTGATAACAAATCAGCTTCTGGATGAAGTGGTATTATACAGACCCACCTTATGAAAATCTGAACTTGAAAAATCAATTTGATTAGACATGGATCCTCAAGTAATGCATGAGCCTTCATGTGCTGGGAAGGGATATGACTGGACTCTCCTCTCCAGGCTCTCTGTTCTGGGAATAGTCCTACCTGAGTGATCTACTCTTACTCAATAGGGCTCAAAATAATTTAACCTGCAGAATTTGGTGCTTACTATGTATCTCCCTGGGTTCATGTGCAGAATAAATCTCCCTTTCCCTCAAATAAGTGGATCTATTACAACAGCAGTTGACTTATTCTTTAATACATTAAGCAAATTTGCCTGGCTTTCCTTGTGTTGACGTTCTCAATATTTTGCTGGATTTCTCTTGATGTATAGTTTTCTTTCTAGAGTGGGAAACAAGTGGCCTTCTTCTCCCTAATGCACAGATATTTTCCAATGGTTCTTTTTATTAAGGATGAGGATGGGCAAGAAGAGGGGATTTATGTAACCCTGTGACAAGGGTGGGACAGCTGGATTGAGTATATATCTCCTAACTGCAGTTTCTACCGTCAATTTTACTTAGATCTCTAGGACCATACATCTTGAAAATCCACCATTGTGCAACTGTGGTGATAAACTTTTAAGTTTCTCCTATGCTGTAGTTATATATTAAGCTATTTGCTTGTGCCTAGTCATAAAGCCTAAGTTAGTTGGCAGTATAGTATGATTATTGTAGATGGTACGTTCTTTAAAAAAAAACCAACAGCATAATATATTTTCTTACAGTCGTATTCCCCAAGTCTAAAAAGTATCACCGTGAGAGTTTAAATACCTATAACCATAACTGGGAGAATTACTTTATATTCTGATCTGCCTATAAAATGCTCTTACGGTAGATAAATTACAGGATGCACAGACTTTCAATGCCATCACTGGCTTTATATAAATGAGTTAAGTTTTGCTTAGTAGGTGAGGGGTAATTATTATTTTTTTTATAATCAATATTTTTTATTATGATATTGTGGGGTACAGTTAAGGGTTAGGTATACAAATACGTTTCGTTCAGGCACCCTTGCTGATAAGAGGTGTTTCCCCGTTCCCAGACAGATATTTACTACTGTTAATCACATCTCCCCCCCATAGTTTCTCACTACTGTCAGTCATTTTCTTATAGTATTACATTGGATGTTCAAGGTCCACTATATGAGTGAGAACATGTGATACGCGGATCTGTGTTTCTGTGAGAGGTCACTCAGTATTATAGACTCTAATTCCATCCAGGTTGCTGCGAAATTCATGATTATGTTCTTTTTTATGGCTGCGTAGTATTCCATCATGTATATGTACCACATTTTTAAAATCCAGTCCTCTTTTGATGGACAGCATGGTTGCTTCCAGGTTCTTGCTATTGTGAACAATGCTACGATAAACATTTGTGTGCAGGTATCTTTTTTATAGAGTGATTTGAGTTCTTCAGGGTATATTCCCAGTAGGGGGACTGCAGGATCATATGGGAGGTTGACATTTAGAGCTTTTAGGAATCGCCACACTGCTTTCCACAGAGGTTGCACTAGTTTACACTCCCACCAACAGTGTAGAAGTGTTCCCTTTTTGCCACACCCTCTCCAGCAGCTTTATTTTTTGAGTTGTTGATAATTGCCATTCTAACTGGAGTTAGGTGGTATCTCAGTGTGGTTTTGATTTGCATCTCCCTGATGATTAGTGAGGTTGAATATTTCTTCATGTGTCTGTTGGCTGCTCGGATGTCTTCCTTTGTGAAGTGTCTGTTCATATCTTTTGCCCATTTTATAATGGGGTTGTTTGTTTTTTTCTTTTCAGCACATTTGAATTCCTTGTAGATCCAAGAAGTTAAACCTTTGTCAGACCTGGTGTTGGCAAATACTTTTTCCAAATCTGCAGGCTGTCTCCCTGCTCTCTTGATGGTTTCTTTGGCTTTGCAGAAGCTTGTCAGTTTAATAAGGTCCCACTTGTCTATCTTCTCTCTTATGACCTGTGGGTTTCAGGTTTTGTTCAGGAATTGGATGCCAGTTCCGATTTCCATGAGGGCATTTCCTTCCTTTTCTAAGGTTCTTATGGTTTGAGGTTTTACATTTAGGTCTCTGATCCATTTGGAGTTAACCTTTGTGCATGGGGATAGATAGGGGTCCTGTTTCAATATTCTGCATGTGGTCAACCAGTTTTCCTAGCACCATTTACTGAATAGGTTCTCCTCTCCCCAGTGGTGAGTGGTGGAGGCTTTGTCAAAGGGGGGGGGGGTAATTATTATACTCTAAAAATCGAATGCATTGTTTTACCCTGAGTGAAATAATCTACCATATTAACTCTACTCTTCAAGTTTACTGATGGTTTTATACCCCGATGCAGACTCTGCTCTATGAAACTCCATTTATTTAGGCTTTCTTCCGGTTTTCACTACCCTAAGTGGATATCTACCCAGTTATATAGTATCAGTCACATCCTTGTTCATTCCCCTCTGCTTCCCATTCCTGGGGTCCCTTGGTGCAAGGATGTACCTGGCTTTCATATTGTGTCAGTTCTGCGGTCTCCACATCTAATCAGTGACTCAGGTCTGTTGTTCATTTAACACTTCTCATGAACACTCCCTTTCTCTCCAGTTTCCCTGGACTAAGCCCTCGTCACTGCTCTTAGACTAAAGCTGCATTTGCCCTATTAACTGGTTTCTCCACCCTAGTCTTGCTCCCTCCTGCTTCTTTTACGTAATGTGACTAAAATAATCTTCCAAAAATAAAAACCTGTGAGAGTCACCTCCCTCCCTGCTGAGGATACAGTCCAAACCTCTTACATGGCAAACCAGGCACCACTGCCTCGCCCCAGCCCCGTTCCTCACGGAGCTTTCCACAGATCTACAGAGCCCTGCACCAACATGGGGCTCCAGGCTTCAGAGTCTCACTCACTGTTCATGCTGCCTAAATTGCCCTTCCCACCTTTGTCTTCTGGTGAGCTCCTTTTACATGTTAGCAGTCCATTAAAATCCACAGCTTCCCCCTAATCTCACATTAAATGACAAAAATCATTCCCTCCTCTCCATTGCCTACGTTTTTTTTTTTGTTTTGTTTTTGTTTTTTTTGAGTTGGAGTCTCACTGTCACCCAGACTGGAGTACAATGGCCACTCCCGGCCACCGCAGCCTCGCCTGCTGGGCTCCAGCGATCCTTCCGCCTCAGCCTTCCAAGTAGCCGGAATTACAGGCATGCGCTACCATGCCCGGCTGATTTTTCGATTTACTATAGAGATGAGGTCTTGCTGCTCAGGCAGGTCTCAAACCCGCGCGGGCTCAGGCAATCCACTCACCTCAGCCTCCCAAAGGCGCAGGATTACAGGCTGTGCCACCGAGCCCGGCATTGCCTACATTCTTAGTCGTATATCTCGATAGCACTTAATCATAGTATTCTGATTATGCATCCACATACCTGTTTGCTCATGAGACTGTGAACGCCTAGAGACTGGGTGTTCTTAGTCATCTTTGTCATTCCAGAGCCTACTACAGAATCTGACACAAGTTTCTGATTAACAAATATTTGTTGGATCAGTTCAATTATCTTCTAAGCGTTCTTTATATTACAGAAGAGGTTTGTTTCTAAGAGGATTAAGAGGCTAGATCTTGGGTATCTCTATAGTCTGTTCTTGTCTGATTAGCTCAATTAAGAATATGATGTTAATGAGGCCGAGGTCTTAAGTTTCACTTCTCTGTGGAGCAGTTAACTTTGTACCTCATCTGTCAGCAATGTCAGCTAGTTGCCGGGTAAATATCACCAGCTCCAAGGGAAATGAAGGGGGAGGATGATTAAACTCAAGCAAATCCATCTCAACTATTAGACAAATTGAAATAGATTCCTCATTGATGTTAAAATGAAGCATGATTTCATACTGAGCGTGCAATTAGCACCTTGTTTGGTCCACAACACCTGTCCCTGTGCACTGATGCTCTTGGCTTAAAAGGCTCTCTGTAGCATTGGCCGTGGCAGTAATGCCACGGGTGGTTGGAGTTTTGCAATCTAAAGCGATAATTGTCTCCCCGCAGACCTTTGGGACTGTCCGCTTCTGAGCCTCTCACATGCCCACCTACCTCTCCATGTTTGTCTTCCAGGTGAAACGATGAGGATCGCCTCTTCTGAGTTTGCAGATGACCCATGCTCCTCGGTGAAGCGTGGCACCATGGTACGGGCAGCAAGGGCCTTGCTGTCAGCGGTGACGCGCTTACTCATCCTGGCGGACATGGCTGATGTCATGAGGCTTTTATCACATCTGAAAATTGTACGTATGTAGAACTTATCCACACTTGCTTTATGTGAGTGGCAATCGCTCAGGACCATGGGCACACAGCTCTGCCCTATCCATGCGTCATTACTCACCAGACCACTCGGTTACTCACCCTATGGTGCAACATTTTCTGAAACATATTGAAAGTATGTTCAATGATACTGTGGCTGACAATTAAGTTCATGAACTCATCCTAGAAAAAATTGCTACATACCTGATTGCTGACTATCATTGCGGTCACCCTTGAAGTACTCCCCTTGGGAAGCTATGCACTGACACCAGTGCCTAGTCCACCTGTTAAAGCGATTTTGGAATTCTTTCTGAAATGGCCATCAGAGCTGTCATATTATCCTTGATGTCCTGAATGTCATCAAAAATGTCTTCCTTTCAATATTTCCTTTATCTTCAGTTAAAGAAAAAAAGTCATTGTAAGTAGCAGGGTATTCCAATACAATTATTTGTTTACTGGCTAAAAACTCCCTCACGAACAGTGCTGTGTGAGCCGGTGTGCTGTCATGAGCAAGAGCCATGAGTTGTTGGTGAAAAGTTTAGGTCGCTTTTGCCTTTTTCATGCAGCCTTTTCGGTACTTCCAAATAGCAAACTTGGTTAACTGTTCAGTTGGTACAAATTCATAATGAACAATCCCTTTGATGTCAAAAAACATCGTTTTGACTCTTGATTTGGACTGATGGAACTCTTTTGGTTGTGGAGAATTGGCTGACTTCCACTGTGCTCTTTGATGCTTTGTTTCAGGATTGTATTGGAACACTCATTTCCAGAACATCATCTTGCCTCTCCAAAAGGTCTTAGTGATGCGGATTTTTCAGGTCAGCCTGGGCTTCGAGAGTGTCAGCTCAATGGGTCGGCCAGCCAAACCCCAGAGAGGGTAGTCAAGGGGCTGGTAAGCCTAGCCCCAGAAGTATCAACTCTAATGGGCTGGCAAGCCAAGCCCTGAGAGTATTGCTGGTATGGTGGGCTGGCAAGCCTAGTCCCTGAGGTGTCTCAGCTTTGGGGTTTCACCTTCTTCTGGCAGCTCTCCTGATTCAGCCAGCTCCAGTGATCTGCAGCTCTTTAGGTTGCAGCTCTTTAGGGTCGAGTTTCTTGTCTCAAGCCCAGGACAAATAAGGGACACGGACAGTTGGAAAGTGAAAAAGCAGGATTTATTGAGAGGAGAAGCTCCCAGAGTGGGAGAGGACCCAAAGGGGTTGTCTGTCTGGGGCCGAAAACCTGGGGCTTATATAGCCCTAAGTCCAAGCCAGTTGGCTAGCCCTAGCTGTGAACTTTGCTGTTCTGATTGGTCAGTATTAAGGTAGGGACCTAATGGTGAACTGATTGGTTGCTTTTCAATCCCAGCAGTGAGGAATTTAGCTCTAGCTTGAGAAGCTTGCAGGAGCTTGTTTACCAACGCTGAGCCTGAGAGGCCTGCCAGGAGTTCACTACATTGTTACCAAAGGACTCGCCTGTCTGTCTGCCTAGCCTTTCTCTAGCTGTCTCCTGTCTCATTAGCAAACGTCATTTCTTTTTTGTTTTTGTTCATTGGCGAGCTCTTTCAGGACTATTTTTGCAAACATCTTTCTCATGCCATGATTTTCAGTTAAGTTTTTTCTTGTTTCTGTATTGATGTTTATTGGTCTGCTATGCTTCTTACAGTCAGCTGACGATTGCGATGCACAAATTTGATAAATTTTTACAATGTTCTCATCAGTTCTGCTCCTTACTGGTTATTCTGATCTCGCTTCATCAATGATGCTTTCTCTCCTCTCAGAAAAATGTGGAATCTTTTTGTACATGGCTGTTTTCTTCATGGTATTATCCCCATAAACTTGGACTAACATGTCCCTGACTTCACTTTCACTCTTGCCAAGTTTAACAAGACATTTAATATTTGTTTGCTGCTCTAATTCAAGCTTCGACATTTAGCGAGGGTACACAAAAAACACGCAAACAATAATGAATGCCATTCAGGAAGACACCGACACATGTAGACACAAACACAGCTGTGAGACACTGATATCCCAAGGTTATGAAACCTTACCGCGTTGTTTGTACAGTGCTGCCAATATAAGCACACAGTGGCAAGCTTGCAAGCTTAATTATCAGAACTTGTGTATTCAAAAAGTAATAAGAGACTCACAAATTGTTTTCCTTCCCTCAGAACTCAGTTTGGATTCTTTCTTACTTCCTGGAGTACATAATATTGCATTATTTTAGGCTACAGAGCCTGGATGTGGTACATCTCACCTGTCTTTCCTGTCTCCAAAGTCAGAGCAGTGTTGGTCCACATGATGGTTCAGGCTAGGGCCAGCACTTCTGGGTAGCTAACCACCTGTGTCACCTTGGTATGGATCATGTGTTGAATATAGTTTGTCATTGGCTCTAGCCTTTCTGTAGATACTGGACTTTGAACCTATAGTCTGGCAATAAAAAGAGACCCATCCACACTGCCCATGGCCAAGATCAATCTCATTGCACCAAGCCTGGCATCCAGCATATCAGGATTGGGTTGCTGGGCACATACTTGCCCCATTTATCCATAAAACCCCCTTAGTTGTGCCTTGCTTGCCATGGTTCCTTTTAATTCTTTTGTTTCCTGGTAGAGAGGATGATTAAGTTCAAGCAAATCCATCTCAACAATTAGACAAATTAGTTGGTCACAAATTTTACTGGAACCTCCCTAGTCCTTGACAGCAGGTCCTTTTCTATTTTTCTCTTTGCTGAATGGTATTTAACTGCATTCAGGGTGGTTCAACCTTTTCAACAAAGAAGATGTAATTCAATTGCTTAGGAATATGTCCTCTGCTCAGAAAATCTGCATACCACGCCCTCAGCTAAAGATGCTTCCTGGATATTGGTGCCAACCCTGGCACCAACCCTGATCTCAGGGTCCTCAGATGATGAGATGTGAGCCATCTGCTTTTCTTTTTGGAGAGCCAGCCAGTTACTGGCTTGGCTCCCCCAACCTTGGAAATTTCTGGCTTATCATGTTTTCCATCAGTCAGTCCTCAAGGTCATATTTTCTTTGTTAGTGAAGTAGAGGTCAGGTGAGATAGAAGATGAATAATGAGAGTCTGCTTTCACCTCCCTTTTGAGTTCAGATTTGTCCCATAGAGGAGATCAAGAAATTACTTGAATCCTAATTATTCTGTCAACAAATCTTGGCCGGTGTCTTTTATCCAAGCAGGCCCCAAAAAAGTGGCCAAGTTTTCCGAGGTATGAATACATTCTGCAGTATTATGAGAGGCCTCAAATTCCAACACCTGCAGCCTGAACTCCAAGGTCAAAGTCAAAAAGGAGGTACATTTCTTTACGGCTTCTATGCAGGTTTTTGAGGAGCCAAGGGACCCAAAGCAGACATGCTTGGGAGCTTTTCCTACGTTTCGTTTTTTGTTTTGTTTTGTTTTTCGCCAGAGAAGAGTCCCTGAAAAGCCAGAAAAGGCTCTTGAAAACTGATTGAAGTGAGTGATTTGAGGAGGGACTTCACCTATTTTCGGGGATGTGAAGGGGCAGCAGAGTATTCGATTAACTCTTTGGCGCTGGAGTCAGACTGACTAGATTTAATCTTGATTTGGCATCCACTTTCCCGTTGTGCTGAAACCTACCAGGCAACCCTCCTTACATCTTGGACACCTCATCTTTTAAAGTGGAGTTAATGGCAGTGAGTCCTCAGGGTTGGGGGAGGTCGAACTTGGGAGAAAATTCCCATGAGGCACTTATTCTAAAGTGATGGGTGGATGGCAGCTGCCTAGCAACTGTAAGATCCTTGGACCAACTTGTCGGCTGCAGGGCCGGCTGTCATTCCATCCCCGTCTCTGTTCTATTCATCTTTTAGGATACAAATACCCCTGTTCTCAAGCATGTTGGAGAAAAGGTTTTGTTATCTTTCCCTTACAGCCTGCTCAGCTCTCAAAGGCCACTATTTTAGAAAAGTCTTTCCCCCGTTGGACAATCTTCTTTTTCCCCCCAGCTGAGGGAGAATAGGACTAAACCCAAAGAAATTAACCTTTCATCTCTGTCATTGTTCGCTGCTCTGCTCAGCGACTGTCAGGAAGTGATGACTGGCTCAATATCCTCCCTGAACAGCCCACACTCGGAAGATATAATCCATTCGGGCACATGATGCTGTGTGTGGCACCAGTTGCTGTCTGTGGTCCTGCCTCTCTACCCACCTGTTTTGACCGGTGCTGTGGGATGATCAGACCCCAGCAGCCGATTGTAATATGAAGTCAATTGCATCCTCTTCTCCTCACATCCGAGGAAGGGAAGTTTTTTAAAAAAGGGGGTTTAGCACAAAATCACAGAAAGGTCAACCTGGCAATATTAAGTAGTCCTGTCAGATTGTCAGTAGTAAAATTAAAAATGATTGTAGACTAAATAACACATTTGTTCTACTTAGAGTGCAGAGTCTGTGGTGAGCAGCGGTGGTGGAAGGTTGCTATCTTGTGGAGTCAGGAAGGAACTACAATATCTGGTGCCCGTCGCCGAATTGCTTAGGTTGTGGCCTGTGTCACACACTGTTTGGATTCAGATGAATCAGAGTTTCATCCCATGAGACTACTGCCCTAACCCCTAAAAAAGACAGTGCATCAACAACAATTCATTACAAATGCTCATAGTACATAATTCTGCTCTGTAGTATGTTTTATACTGTAGAATCACATCCTCTTATGAATGGTGAAGTACTATATTGTCTCTTGTGTGTGTGTGTGTGTGTCTGTGTGTGTATGCAGAGAGTGCCAAAAAAAGTATACATATTTTAAGAAAGGAAAAAATTGTATTAAAATTGTAATACCATTCTGCCTGTCCCACGGTGACACTAGTGTTCATTTGAGTAATGCCATCTTTTGAGTAACCGTCATACTACACATTGCTACCGTAACTCAACTTTGAAAGTAATACCTCATTGCTTTTAAAATGTGTATACATTTTTGGCACTCCCGGTGTTTGTGTGTGTGCGTGTGTGCGTGTGTGCATGTGTGTGTGTGTGTGTGTGTGT